ACCACGATGGCTAGGATATGTTATCTCCCTCGCCTGGTATACACGCGTTGGTGGGTACGGTCTTGAACTAACGCCTGCATTTTTGGATACTTCATGTCTTTTTGCCCGTGGTGGTGTGAATTTTTCTCCAGGTCCTCTGGTTTCTTTCCCTCCACATTTAGCATCATGCTTTTTAAGTATTTGGCTGCTGCTATAAATGTCTAGGTGACAAACCATTTCGTTGAGCTATAATTTGTGACCAAGTTACTTTTGACAAAGAGTTCTACACCTCAGTGGGCCTGGTAAAATAAAATACAGTCATCGACTTACGAACGCCCGTACTTACGAACCAGTTTCTCTAGGACCTGGTGTCTACACACCAGGTCCAGGTGCAGTGCAAGGGGCTGGTAACCCCTCCACATTCAATTAATTACCACTATACCATTAAAACAGTATCCAGCTAAACTTGTGCCAGAGACCCCGGGGGGACAGCCGTCTATGATGTCTCCTTGCCAAACCCCATTTGGCGGCACCAGGAGAATCCTTCCCCTCGGGGTTCTTCCAGAAACAGCAAAAAGTCACTGCGGATGGCCACGTGGAATGTTTGAACGCTCACTGTGAAGGAGAGGCTGCCACTTCTCTGTCAGGAGCTGGACCGGTACTGCCTGGATCTCTGCGTGATTCAGGAGGTCCGGTAGACTGGCTTTGGCTCCTGCCACCGTGAGGGGTGGACAGTCCTCTACTCGGGGTAGGAAACTACCAAACAACAGGGAGTGGCTCTTCTTCTGAACAAAATAATAAAGGGGGCATGGGAGCATGATGGTGAGGTGTCGGAAGCTGTAAGCCAATAATCTGGTGATTGCTTCTCACTCAGATAAGGAGTTGGAGGCGCTGCTGCTACACCTGGAGTGTGCCACTAAGAAGTGGGACCTTATCATTAGCCCCACCAAAACTAAGCTCCTGCCTGGGTATTTTGTACCATCAGGCATTCCACTTCTGCAACTCCCAATTCGTGATTGAGTTCTCCATACCTGGGCATTGTGATCATGACCGGCTCCGGTTTCACAGCAGAGATTCACTCCGAATCAGCAGATTGGCATTATCTTTTCATCGGCTGCGTAACGCTGTGTGGAAGCTATTTGGTCTGTTGCTCCACACGAAGCTTCGGGTCTTCTCGCAGATGATCATGCCCTCCCTTCTCTATGCTTGTAAAACGTGGACTCCCCCCCTAATGGAACATCTTCGCCAGTTAGAAACATTTAGGCTGGCCTGCCTACGATCCATCCTGGGTTTAACCAGGCTCGTTTGTTTGAGGAACTCGCATATCCTTGAAAGATCTGGGCAAAGACCCATCGGTGAACTCCTCCAGCAGGCAAGGGTGGATTGGCTGTGTCATGTAGCCCGCATGCCTGAACAGCTTTTGTTTGGGTGGATAGAGGGAGACAGGCGACTAAGCGTGGTGCTGGCTACACACCCCCTTGTGTGATGTTCCGGCCTTCATTCGGTGCTCACTATAACAGTGCTTGCCCCAAGCGTTTGTTAAGCCTATTCGGGCAAGATTTGTCTGTCTCTTTATTGGTCTTTATGCCTCCGTATATTTCCTTTTCTTATGCATCTACTAGTCAACTTAGTCAGCAAACCCATGGCATCTGGTCTGTCCCGAGACCTCCTGTCAGCGAGCCATTGACACTTGTTGTATATATTAGGTATTGAAAAAGAATAAAAAAATAATTTTAAATAAAAAAATGTGTAAGTTTCCGAGATTATGCTAATTTATGTTATTATGCAAATAATGCATTTATGCCAATTCGGTTCTGCTTCGTTGTCTAGGGGTGTTACCAATTGTGATCATAAAATGAAGGTGTAACTATATTAAGTTATTCAAGTGTATGTAATTATACTAATGTATGCAATTATTATAATTAGGCTTGGCTTCGTTGTCTCGGGTTGTATTACCAATCGTGATAATGAAATGATTCTCGCTTTAACTTTTACTGATTATGTTTTAGTGTGTTTATGTCAGGTGTCAAAATTAAAATCTCACCACAGGATACAGTTCTTATAATTAAGATTATTATGCATTAACTTAGGAAGGCACCACTCAGACTCTTCTGTGTTAAGCAACTTTAATATCTAAAAACACTAATATGCGAACATTTATGCTAAGAATTGTCAACACAGTACTCCTGGAGGGGTTCTCCTCATTGATCCGTACAATTAACCCTCAATGATTACGTTTAATTCCTCAGAGTAAAGCGAGCATACACGGCGATAGGAAAAAGTCCTTAAAATTAATGTGACAATATTCATACGAACAGTAATAAACAAACATGTGCCTAAGGCAAAAGTAGACCTGAACTAATTAATTGGTAAGATTATGCAATTAACGAAATGCCTTGGAACAATGGTGTATCGGCAGTGTGCCTGCTTGTCTAACAAATGCTTATCAATTGGCTAAGGGCTTCAATTAATTTGCGGGCAAGATTGTGATCAAAATAAATATTTCAACACAATAGTATCCCTATGAGTGTGTAGATTCGTAACATAGATGTTTATAAATGGTTAGTTTCATCAATGAATTCATTGGTACAGTTCTGCAATTAACGAAAACGAATGACTAATATACTTCCAAACGACGTATTCACGAAACGCAATGGGCAGCAATGCTTTTCATGATCAGCTAATATTTAACGCACCCCCTTCATATGTTAATCATTTTGAAACACAAAGATACATTTCGGAGCAATCTTATTAGCCCAAATGTGTGCGTTGTGTGTGTATTGTTTTCGTGCTCCACTCTTTGAGTTAAGTGGTTCCCTGCCAGGCGGTGAGTCGTGTGTGTGTGGGCGTGTCATACACACGGTGCTCTCTCTCTCTCTTGGCGGCGGCTCCAGGTTTTTTTGCTGCTGGACGATTGTTGAGTCGGCACAATGCTCGTCTTTGACGGTGCATGATTGCGCTCGCAGCTCGTTCACTGGTCGCCAGCACTGACACTCTTTCTTGGTTGCGCTGGCCACGCTCACTCCCTTGCAACAGGCACGGTTGATCCTCGTAGACTCGACCTTTGCAGGAGTGTGCTCGGCTTCCGAATCCACATGCTCGTGGGTAGTCGTTAGCCGCTGCTGCTGCTGCTGGTCCTGTGCGATGCTCGCTTGGTCGATACTTGGCGCTTTCCGCCCTTTCTCCGGGTTGATTGGTTGTCGTTGCTCGTCACTCTTTCTCTCTCTTTCTCTCTTGCTGCACCCGCTGGTGGGAGCTGGAACTCGATGTAGAATACAACTTTTAGCGATGCTTCGTCTGTCAGCGCCAAACTCACACTCGGTGACACATCGCTACTCTGCGAGCCTCGTCATCCATGGTCGATTGCGGAGCCCACCCCCGGAGCTTGTCGCAGCAAGACTGATGTGCGTGGTTTCTGCTCATTGGCATATTCCAAAATCTCCCACTTCGGCTCGTCTCCTCACAAGGGACCGGAATTCCTTTGATTTGCTCTCAGCCTGTGGGAACAGCTGTTCAGTTGCCCCTCAGAGTAGAGCGACTGATTTTACGACCTTTCACAATAATTAATCTGGAAGGGGGGTGGTCCTTTTGGCCCTTGTCCGGCTGCGTTCCCCCCCCCTCTTCCCTCACGGTTGGGAGTGTAACATGTTATTGTTGTCTCTCACAAAGAGGGGCGTTGTGGCCTTTGAAGTCGTGTTCTCTTGTGCACCGGTTGGAAGTTAAACATATTTTACCTCTTACAGCTTGGTACCGTACCACTTTCCGCAGTTTTGACTCTGCAAGTGACTCAAAGTACGTTCTGAGTAGTGTTTTCAGCAATGTTTACAGCGTGGTATTTGATATATTAAGGGGCGGCGCCCCCCCCCCCCCCCCTGCATCACGATTTACTACTGGAAGACAAAGGCGGTTGGGGAGGCTCTGATCCTATGGAAATCAGTATCTTGGTCGTGTGTGATTGACCTGTTCCGCGTTGTATTTCTTCTGCATGACCCTAGGTCTAAAACCTCATGATTAGTATTTATTTGATTGAATTTATTTCTACGTTACTTTACCGAAATAACCAAAGAGGATTATTATTTAGCTTATGCTTCACCAATATTTGTGTTATACCATAGTTACCACAGGTATTCCGAGGGTTTTATTTACCTTTGATCCCCGTCTGTATCATCAGGGATCCGTGCTTCGTATTCAAGTTATATTTTGATATCCTGAGTTTGACGATGTAGCTAAGCTTCGACTTTTTACTGTTGAAAAAACAAATATCACCAGTTGCAATGTTCCCCGTACCTGCTGCCCTCGCCGTCCGAGGTGATCCGTGGCCCCTGCTGTTTGTACGTGTTTTATGGCGGCCTTTGAAGCTCGGTAGAGATTTCTCCTGAATCTCATTAGCCCCCCCGCCCCTTGCACCGGGTTTTTTTAGTTACATTTTTATGGCTACTTCCTTGCCCCAGCTCTACATTCAGATCAAACGTATAAAAACAATAGGCAGAATCATTCTTAATATATTTTTTGGGAAAAAGGCATATATATCACACACTTCACGTGGCCTCAAAGTGCACCTGGCCTGGCACAGGTGCCGTGGTGACATTACCTTCACTTAGCGAATGGCGGGTATTGGCGTGTGCTCCGTGTGTGTGCGTAATTGTGGCAATTCGTTGCCCCCCCCCCCTTCCGACTACCAGCTAGCATCAGGAACTGAGATAAAATATTTTTTTCAATTAATGTTTATTTTAAATTGCATTTACTATAAAGCATTTTTTTACAGTGTTACATGCAAATGTTCAATTATGAGTTTAACAATGCTTTCCTTTTTGTTGAACTGGAACACATTTTATAATCACAAACCATATGGGAATTTAAATACAGTGCATTATTGTGTTCTGATTTACGAACTGTTCTACTTACGAACAGGTCTCAGAAACGAATTATGTGCATAACCAAACCATTTAAACCTGCTGCTCAAGAAACCAGACTTTACTAATCCCATTGACCAAATTATTATTTATTTGATTTTCTTTCAGCCTTCGCAACTTCAACTACATCTGAATCAATGAGTAAGTACAATTTCACTCCTCATTTTACATTGAGCTTGGTTTATAAACACATTCAAGCTCTAGAAAAAAATACTTTAAAATGTTTAAGTAAAACAATCATCATCATGCCTCATACGGGGGGAGGTAGCACGTGGAAAACAATAACCTAATCTTGAACTAATAGTATTTCCACTTCTATGGATAGGGGTTGGGGTAGTGATAGAGGTAGTGTTGGAGGTAGCCACCTATATCACATCTCATCTCAAACATTCTAACAGAACAATGAGTGGCAGCTGTCCCTGTGTGGCACGCGGTGATCCAGCACCAGCGTGCAAGTGGGCATTGGTTCTATCAGGAGGTCCAATGTTTGCTATGTGTTATCCCAGTTGAGCAAATTGTGGTCATTTCTCAAATTTGTCAAATTGACTATGACACCAGCACAAAAAAACATGATTTAAATGTTTTTTTTTTACTTCCATAATAAAGCAGAGGACACATTTAATGGTTAATACACCCAGGTTAATACACCCAGAGTATTAACCAGGCCATCCTGCCGGATTCAAACTGCAGACATCTGCAGCAAGCGGCGAATGCACTACTGTTTGGAGATGTCACCGAATAGAGATGTAGACCACGGACAAAAATGCCACAATTTGTGTGGCCCCCTTTTTTTCGATGGCCAAGTGCTTCGTAAAACACTGATGACGATGATGCAGATTATAACGTTGATAACTACAACGGTGATTTTAATGAATATCAATAAGTTATAATAATTTCAACTTGGACCGTACACAATATTTACCTACTCCCAAAGAGAGAGAGAGGGAATGACTTGAAAGTGCAAGGCGCCACATGTGAGTGGAATGGTAGCTGCCTTTGTGGTCATCTATGTATGTAGGTGTTATTGGCCAATGAATGAGTGTTTACACGTGGGAGAAAAACCGAAAAAACAGAAAACTCACGCGTGCAAGGGGGAAACACTTTATTCCAAACATAATATGTATTACTCTTTGGTTATTTTGGTAAAGTCACGTAGGTATAAAATAAAATAAATGACGACGTTTCAGGTGCAACACAAGCGTCCGTCCTCAGGTGGGAAAGAGTATGGATTCCTGCAGTCACGAATGCTTCAAATCAAGATATTATTTATTAATTACGTTGTTGAGCCAGCTGACCAGGATTGGAAAAACCACGCCCACTTTTCACCCAGTCTCTATGTATCTCTATGAGTCACTCTTTATATGTATAGTAGATAATCGATTATGTGCCGCACAATTATATGTGGCTTCCAACATTATCCTGCGGTCCCAGGCCGATTCGGCGAAACCGCTAAACAGCTCCAGCGATCGGCACAGTGTCTGACAAAAAAGTAGCTATGCCTGATTTCAGTGGCAAATATTTTATACAGTACATTAAAAACTACATACAACAACTTAAACAATCCATAATAGAGGTTTTTTTTTGGGTTATATCGTGTAAATATATAAATGTGTCATTTAAACCCGCCACCACCCGACACAGCCAACTAGTAAGGGTTGTCACGTAAACAGAACATGCCAATTTGTAACTTGCTAGTAATGAATTTGCATGTTCTGTTTAGGTGACAACCCTTACTTGTTGGCTGTCGGGTGGTGGCGGGTTTTAACGACGCAATTATATATTTACGCAATCTAACCCAAAAAAACTCAATTATGGATGATACTGGTCGCGAATGACTACGTGTTAAACTTAAACAATGACAATGCTGAACGCATATAATTTGTTCATGCATAATAACAAATACAAACTTAAAATATACAGTGCGATCCAGCAAAAAGTTATTCGACTTTCACTGGAGCACCAGTCTAAAGGCTGCATCAGTCTGGCAATTGTCAAAAAAAATAATTGAAACAAGAGCGTATACTACATATATCACTCCATTCAGAATCTTCGAGATTGGAGTGGTAATTATGGTACAGTAAAAAGGTAACTTTTTAGAGTAGGATATTTATTTTTTGTCTATCTACATAATTTGTGATTATCCAGCATTTTTGAAAATCCAGCACCTCTTCCCCCCCCCCACGCCACCAGATAATCGATGATCTGTATCTCTGAGGTGCTATGTATTTGTAGTGAGTCAAACTGAGTCGCAGACGTTATCTTGGGAGCAACACCTTATATTTAAATAACACCAACACAACATAATGTAACCTACACTCGGGTGTTGAACGCCCATCTACTATGCTACAGCAGAACTAGGCACGGTCCCGCTATCCCGGTCCGGACCACAATCTGGGTCCCGGACCGCATGGCTAGAGGCTTCTTCAACCCGACGTGGATCTTCTCTCATGAACAGACAAGAACCCCGGGCCCCTCACGGCCCCCGTTATATCGGCCCGGGCTGGGGCTGGTTCCGCCTCTTGCCCCGCCCACCTTCTCGATCTGTTGAGCTCTTTCCCGAAGGCTCCCGAGAGCTCTTCTATGCCACGTGACCGCCCAGCGGCCCCCGTCCATCGGTGGCCTCTCTCCAATATCATCCGGTCACGGGTCGGCAGGTCAACCAGCGTATCATGCCCCAATGTAACCCTGCTGGCTGACACTCTGTCTCACTGCCTCACCGGGAGCCCGCACCGCACACTGTACATGTTGTCCCCGCGCTAACCAGTGCTCACCCAAGCACTGCTAGGGCTAGTACTACGCCCAGTAACCGCGCTACACATAATTACAACATAACATCCGCCGTGGCCTCGCAAGCCCGGCACCACACAGTGACATTCCCAGTCACTACATCACCCTCCCCCCCTCCGTAGCATCCAGCCGTCCCGGCTGCCAACTCCCCCACAAGTAAGCAACCGACGCACACATATAAAGAACAAAAGCGAAGTGTGCTCCAACAAAAACATAACAGTGCAATAAATACCCAAACCCAACTGTACATATTTACACTGAGATAAAAAGGGGAATAGGGAAAAAAAAACACACGGCGCGATAAACGGTTTAAGACGAGAGCGGTGCACAAACCAACTCCGCTTACCAAACCGAATCTGGACACATTGCAGACGCATGACCCAAATCGCATCAACCGGCCCTCTCCATGGTTACAGCAATTTGGGAGATGTGCCCACCGGCACCTGGGGACAATGTAACCAGGCCCTGTCCCCCGGAGACCAATCGCACAGGGAAACACGGGCTCCTTGGAGCCACTCGTTGGCCAACTGTCTGGCCCAGGAGTTAACACTGGCAGCCTCCTGCGTTTCGAAAAGTTTTGCAAGAGTGAAGCGAACTGAATCTGATATTTTGGACACGTTCACGGTGGGTGCAGCTTGTAACTGTACGTCATTTGGAGGATCATACTCCCATACATCAGAAAGAAGGGAGAGTAGCCGGTGGACGTATGGGGGGTCATCCTATAAGCTGCGAGAACCGCAGGAATATGCAATTCTCAATCGACCTGTGACTCGCCTACCAGGTGACTCACCATTGAGGTCAGAGTCCGGTATAGGCGTTCGACCATGCCATCCTTTTCCGGTTAGTACGGTGACGTGCGTACCTTTTTTGTCCCCAGCAAATCACAAACCTCATGCAGCAGTTTACCCTGATGTGTCAAGAGGCGCTCGGCGGGCACCCTTATCCAAAACATAACCATTGAAGAACGCCTCGGTAATAGTCACAGCCAATTGATTCGGGAGCGGCCAGGCCATAGGCCAGTGTGAGAAATACTCACCGCCCACCAGCAAGTATTTTTTCCCTTGTGTGAAAGTAGGAAATGGCCCGAGAATATAGATGGCAACAATTTCGTTAATACGTGACACCTGAACTGATTGCAGCGGAGAACACCTGGATCTCGCTGGCGGCTTCCGCTGGGCACATTTTATGCATCCCTTAAGCAAATTTTTGACGTCGGAGGCCATGGCCGGCCAGTAAAAATCCAATCTAAGCGCGGCCAGCGTCTTTTGCACCTCGAGATGTAACAACCGTTTATGCACGGCCCACACAACCTCGCCACGCAGGGCGGTAGGGACAACAATAGCATAACGGCGCAACCCACCATCCCGGTACATGAGCAGCCTGCCCCGCAGGACGAACATGGTGACACCCCGTGGAGCCGTGTTACCGGCGGTCTCTCTGACACGCCGGCGCAACTTAAGGAGAGACGCATCCTCCACCTGCAGGCGTCCCCACACTTCGCCATTCAACCCGATAACCGCATCACGTGCGGCAGGGACATTGCCCGACCTATCCATCGTATCTGTGGCGGACACAACGAGAGGGGAGGGGGAGGTCAACTCGGCCAGTCTACAACGACCGAAACTCAAAAAACAAGCACACTCCCCACCCGCGGGCAATCGCGATGGGGCGTCGGCGTTCGTATGGTGAGAACCTTTACGATACGTAACTTTGAACGAAAAATCCTGCAGGATTTCAAGCCAGCGTGACAACTGATCTGAGGGCTGATCCACACGCAGCGCGTATTGGAGCGCCACATGATCGGAGCTCACCTCGAAATATCTACCATACAAGTAGGGCCGATTTTGCTGCACAATAACCACAATGGCCAATAGTTCCCGGCGCGTTACGAAGTACCGCTGCTCAGCAGAAGACAGCACCCTGCTCCCATACGCAACCACATGCTCCACACTATTGACAGTTTGGAATAACACCGCTCCAATGCTGGTATTACTGGTGTCCGTGTCCAACACGAATGGCAGCGAAAAGTCGGGATAACGCAGGGGAGGGGTGTTAACCAGCCCATCACGAATGGAGCGGAATGCAGCTTCCTCCTCCTCCCCCCAATGAAATGTTTGGCTCTTAGCTGTCAATGCTTGGAGAGGTTTTGCAATAGATGCGAATTCCGCAACGAATTGGCACTAGTAAGAGGAAAAGCCGATAAAACTGCTCACCTCACTGGCCGAGGTGGGGGTCGGCCACGTCCGAATGCAAGCAGTTTTCTCTGGATCTGTTGTGATGCCTGTTTCGCTAACTATATGGTGCAAGTATCGAACTGATTTTTGGAGTAGGTGATATTTCTGGGGCTTGAATTT